AGTTGACACACAATGTTACATTAGTTTCAGGTGTGTGACTTAGTGATTTGACAAGTTTGTACATTATGCTGTGTTCATCACTAGTGTAACTACCATCTGTCCTGTTACATCACTATTACAGTGTTGTTGACGGTATTCCTTACGCTGCGCCATTTACTCCTGTGACTTACTCATTCCATAACGGGAAGCCTCTGTGTCCCACTCCCCTTCACCCATGTTGCTCATCCCCCACGCCGCCCTCTGTGGCAGGTGTTTGTTCTCTGTATGTATAGGTCTGATTCTGCTTTTTGTTTTTGTTTTTTTTTTAATAAGGTATTTGTCCTTCCCAGTCTTACTATTGCACTTAGCATAATACTCCCTAGGTCTACCCATGTTGTCTCAAATGGCATGATCTCATCTTTTCTTATGGCTGTGTAGTATTCCTTTGTGTACACCACATTTTTCTTATCCATTTGTCTGTTAATGGGCACTTAGATTGCTTCCATAATTTGGCTATTGTAGATAATGCCACAATAAATAGAGGGGTGTGAATATCTTTTTGAATTAGTGTTTTCCTATTCTTTGGGTCAATACCCAGTAGCAGTATACTGGATTATTACTGGTATTTCTATTTTTAATTTTTTGAGGAACCCATTTTCCAGAGTGGCTGTAACCATTTGTATTACCATCAACAGTGCACGAGGGTTCCCCTTTCTCCACATCCTCACCAACACTTGTTGTTTCTTGTGTTGTTGATTTTAGCCGTTCTGACAACTGGGAGGTGATGATGTCTCATGGTACTTTGGATTTGCCTTTCCCTGATGATGAGGATGGTTGAGCATCTTTTCATGTGTCTGTCGGCCATCTGGATGTCTTCTTTGGAGAAATGTCTATTCATGTCTTCTGCCCATTTTTTAATTGGATTATTTGGTTTTGGGGGTATGTTACGAAAGTTCTTTGTGTGGGAGATCAACCCCTTATCGGATATACCATTTGCCAATATCTTCTCCCGTTTAGTAGGTCATCTTTTTGTTTTGTTGATGGTTTCCTTCACTGTGCAAAAACTTTTTATTTTGAGGTAGTCCCTATAGTTCATTTTTGCTTTTGTTTTCCTTCCCTCAGGAGACATAACTAGAAAAATGTTGTTATGGCCAATGTCAGAGAAATTAATACCTGTGCTCTCTTCTAGAGTTTTTATGATTTCAGGCCTCACATTTAGGTCTTTAATTCATTTTGAGTTTATTTTTGTGTATGGTGTAAGAAAGTGGTCTAGTTTCATCCTTTTCCATGTAGCTGTCGAGTTGTCCCTACACCATTTGTTGAAGAGCCTTTTTCCCATTCCATATTCTTGCCTTCTTTGTCATAGACTAATGGACCATACAGCTGTGGGTTTATTTCTGGGTTCTGTATTCTGTTCCATTGATCTATGTGCCTGTTTGTGTGCCTGTGCCATACTGTTTTGGTTACTACAGCTTTATAGTATATCCTGAAATCTGGAATTGTGATACCTCCAGGTTTGGCCTTCTTTCTCAAGATTGCTTTGGCTATTCAGGGTCTTTTGTGGTTCCGTACAGATTTTAGGATGATTCGTTCTAGTCCTGTGAAAAATATTGTTGGTGTTTGATAGAGATTGTGTTAAATCTGTAGATTGTTTTGGGCAGAATAGACATTTCAACAATATTCTTCCAATCCATGAGCAGGGAATATACTATCTTTCCATTTGTTTGTGTCATCTTAAGGTTGATGTGACAGTTCTGTATTCTACCTAGGGTGTACCCCACCAGTGACTGTCGCCAATAACTATGGGTTGGGGGGCTCTGTCCCATAGTCCTCTTGCCTTTTAACAGAAAGACAAGAAGTTGCAGAAGGTTACCAGCCCTTGAGAGACCGTCAGCATGGGCTGGGCCTCTGTCAGCTCCTGTAGGGAGAAGGGCTGATTCCTTCATTTTACTTCGCATATATTTGTAGCAGTGCCTCCAGTACCTTAGCGAATGGAGGTCACACAGAATGCAAGTTCAGTAGCCGTTCTCACACTTCACCTGCACAAAGGGGCAGCGAGGAAGAAAGGGCTGGGAGCATATGCCTAACTCGGTGGCTCTCAAATTGGGGCATTGTGCCCCTCTCCCCCCAGGGGCATTGGAAATGTCTGGAGGCGTTTTTGGTTGTCACATAGAAGGATTGCTACTGTCATTCAGTCGCCGGAGGCCAGGGGTGCTGCCCAGCACCCTTCAATGCACAGGACATCCCTCAACAGCAATGAATTGTCTGACCCAAAGCGTCAACAGGGTCAAAGCTGAGAAAGCCTGATTTAAACCATCCTAGGGGTCCAGGGCTTCTGTGTCTAGCTCATCTCAATTGCTGGTAATAGTTAAATGCCATTTTTACCTGTGGACTGCTTGGCTGGAGATGGAGGGGCTTGATATCCTGTATCTGAGGGGTGGTTTTGTCACACACCGCAGCCGCCTCCCAGTGGCACCACTGCCCCTATCCACATGGCCGGCCTCTGCAATCTTCAGAATTCTGGAGAGGCAGCTGATGCTTTAGATGCACTGTAAGAGCAAAGCTGGCGGCTGGCTCCTCTTTCTGCCAGCGAAGGATGAGCCAGGGGTAGACTGTGAGTCACGCTGACCACGGGACTGCTGCTCCTGGAGGAGAGTGAGCTCATGACCCTTTCGATCAAGTGATAAAAGTCCTCCATCACTCAGGAAGAGATTTCTTAAGGAAGGATGAGAGCATTTCCCAGAGGGAGTTTTATTTTTTATTTATATGTGTAGCAGGCAATTATAAAGTGCTTACCATGTACCAAGTGGTGTTCAGAACGTTTTATAAAAATTAACTCATGAAGTCCACATAACAATGCAAAGAGGTAGGTTTATTCTTAGCACTCTTTGACAGATAAGGAAACAGGAGTGGAGAACAAGCACATAAACCGAGAAACTTGGGCTCCAGAGTCTGGGCCCCTAACCACCGTGCTGTGGATGAAAGACCTTGAATTTCACACTTAGGTTTTTTTTCTACCTTGACTCTTGACTTCTGGCTGAGCCGCTGAGGCATCAGGGAATTAGGCCAACCCGATTCAAGTCCCCATTCCGGTTTATTATCTCTGTAGCTGTGAGCAGGTTACTTCATGTCTGCGAACCTCCGTGTTCTCCTCTCTAAAATGAAGTCATTTTACCCGGAGGAGGTGAAGATAACGTGGGGTTTCTTAGATTTGTGTGTTGTGGCATGTTATAGGCATTCAGGAAACATTAGTTCCTTGTGCCCTTCTCTGCTATAATATTTTTAGCCCTGTCGCTCTAATGTTCTGGCCAGCTTCTTCTTACCTGTAGGGAAGAGACAGGCTGAAGAGTGAGAAATAGCCCTGGTGGGGTGTTTGTTAGAATGAAGGAACGAACCACTTCAGAGGTTAACATCGTGAAGAAGTCCAATGATCCGTTTGGGGAGAGCGGTGGGGAGGTTGTGCTTATGCCAAGCGCAGACCACCAGACTTTGAGGAGAGAGGCGTGGGTTTGCTTTCTGCTTGCAGTATTTAGTCTGCTCCAGCCATGCCTCCCATCTGTAAACCGCCAACAACACAAACTTCCATGTTCGTTACACACCTTTGTTCTGACAGCTTCCCTCTCCCCCTGACAAAATAGGACAGCCTGAGTGCCTTCTGGTCGAGGTTCAGGGTTGGCTGGCTGTGTTCTGGGATTGGTGAATTAATCCGGTGTGTGCTTCTCTCCCGGCCAGGTGAGATCACCTACTCAAAGCAAGTTTGCCCTGTTCCCAGTACAAGGGAAAGTGGCAATTTTGCACTTGTCTCAGTTCAGGACTTGGCATATCCTGCTCCCCACACGGTGCTCTTCTCCCCTGAACCACTCCCAATTCATTCATGAGGCTGAATTCTATTCACATGGATGGCTAGCCTGGTGTCCTTCTGCTTTTCTCACATGTGCAGGTCAATATATCTTTCTTTGATTATGAGTTTCCAGAGGAGAGAGGCTTAATTAATCTTCTTGTGTGTGTGGAATACCTTGTGTTCAAACTTAGTAAACGCTTAGGTATACATGAGGGTAAATGTCTGTCTAGAGAGAAGTGCAGCATTTAACCCACAGTCAGATGTATGAAAAAGGGAATCAACTCTTTTTTTTTTTTTTTTTAAAGATTTTATTTATTTGAGACAGAAAGAGTGAGTGAGAGCACAAGCTGGGGGGAGGGGTAGAGGGAGAGGGAGAAGCAGGTTCCCAGCTGAGTAGGGAGCCTGACACAGGGCTCGATCCCAGGACCCCAGGATCATGACCTGAGCCGAAGGCAGATGCTTAACCGACTGAGCTACCCAGGCGCCCCATGAGAATCAGCTCAGGGTGAGAGAATATCCTTAGCATCTAGAACAGTGCCTAGCACATAGTAGTTGTTTTGTAAATATTTCCTGAACGAATGAATGAATGAATCTGGTCTTAATTTAGGTATCTTTCTAAATCTCATTGTAGTTAACATCTGAGTTAGAATCTGGAACCATAGTTTTTATTAAGTATTACCATAAGTAACCAACAGAAGTAAAGACTTGGCAAAAAGTTGGAATGTACTGGAATATTGAACACTGAAAATAATGAACTTGATCCAGAAGGTACTTCAAGACCTCTCTGCACTTAGGGGCTGTCATTCTATAGGTCAGAGCTTCATGCTCTCAGAAGAAGGAATTTAATAGAGTGCTTTGATAGGATGCTAAGTAACACCGAGTTTTCTCTGTTGCCCTAGTGCCTGGGAGTAATTTTATGTCACCTACTGCCAAACTCGCATGGCGGAAGAGACCAATGTGTTTTGTACTCTCTGGGCCACTCGAAGATGGCCTCCGTCATCTTTAAGATAGGGTTTGTTTGGACACGTCTTCAAGCAATACTTCTTGACTGTGCCACTTTTTTTTTCTTCATGTCAGAGAGAGACAGAGGAGGAGGAGGAGGGAGAGAGAGAGAGAGAATGCACCAGACAAACATACAGAGGCCAAAGACTTTTTTAACTATCTGCATTTTCTTTGACAGATCTGAAGAAAACTCTTGCCGTGCTATTGGATAATATCTTGCAGCGCATTGGAAAGTTGGAGTCCAAGGTGGACAATCTTGTAATCAATGGCACAGGGACAAACTCGACCAACTCCACCACAGCTGTTCCCAGCTTGGTCGCACTTGAGAAAATTAATGTGGCAGGTAAGAACGGCGGTTGTGTGCCCTGACGTGGAGGCTGACCGTGCTTTGGCTTGGGGAAAGGATAAAGGGGCACAGCGGTTCTTATTGATATAAATCCCATCAAACTTGGTATGGTTCCTCTAAAGCTGATTTTAAATTTACTTTTGATTAACATGTTAGAAGACTTTTAAAGGCCCATCATGATGTGTAATAGCTGGTGGTTTCTGTGACATATTTCACATAATGAGCTCCTGGAATTCACTTTTAACGAGAAGATTCATAGCATGGGTAAGTGGAATAGAGAGGTTACCTGGGAAGCTCATTGTCAGCTAGAGGTCCTTTCTCCTTCCCGTTTTCATCAGTTTCGAAAGTCTGTCCCATATAAGAGATTCTCTCCTTCCCATTGTTAAAGAAGTCACCATTGCAGAAAAATGCATCCTGTGTGTACATGGGGAGATGGAAATTCTGGAAATGGGACTGATGAAATAAAGGGCCCCTGCCTGATCTTGGGCTGCTTCTGTCGCCACTCCTGGACACCAACCTGCATTTCTCACTGGGATGCGTTTTTGTCTAGCCCCTTCCCAAAACTGGAATCTTGGATGAGAGAAGCGTAGATTAAAAACAAAGCCCAGATCACACACAGCCTGGATTGCCCATGGCTTATGTTGGATGCCCCCATTGCACTGCCCTGGGGTTGGCCTTCAAGTCCCTGTGGCCGAGCCAGGACTTGCTCTCATTAGAGTGACAAAGCAAGGGGCCTGAGGATTAGGATGAGATGCTTTGGGTGAATGGTTGTAAATGAGTTGTCTGCACTCCTGGTGGGGTTATCCAGTCTCTACTTAATGTATGAAATACGGAGCTGAGTTGCTTTCTGCTACTTTGAAAATCAAATTTAGTGTTCTTTTGGTTTCTCTCTACCTCTGACTTGCACTGTAGAAATGTACGGACTGAATACCTCCCAGTGTCAAAACATTTAATTGTTTCCCATTATGCAAGCTTGTTGTGTCACCTTTCTGTTCTGTTCTTTGCCCTTTAGCAAGTGTTAAATTAGAAAATATATTTCTAATAATCCAAAGTGTCCAACCAAAGAAAGGTATTAAAAATAACTTTTAATTACAACACAGAGGCAGTGTCATCTGGGCCATAAATCCTCTCTTCCCTGCAGTTTCAACGGCTTCTGTAATTAGACAAGAAAACCTCCCACTGTGTTGAGCTGCCTATTAATAAATGGAACCCATGGCTCTCCGGGCTCCATTCCTCCACCCTGGTCCCCAGCAGAAAATGCCGTTGGAAAGGTCCTATCTGATTTCATGGCAGTTCTACATTGTCCTATTTCCAGAGGTGGAGTGGGGTGCTCCACCTTGACCTTTGCCGCCTCCTAATGTCTCTGTCCTATACAACCCATGTAAACAAGTCTGTTGTCATTCTCTGCCTGATGAGGGATCTTGCTACCACTGACTATCCTGTTTGTGCCGGGCTCACTGGGAGACTAACCCTGCCTGGGCTCCAAGTACCCGGGTCCAGAATTGTAGGTCGACCTCCAGAAGTGACATGGGAGGGAGTTGGTGACTACTTCTTTCCTTTGGGATCCCAGCCCCACGTATTGAGTGAGTTAGTTGACTCAGTTAACACACTACCTCTTGAGCACATTCTCTGAGTTGTTGGCTCTGATGGGTCTCCTTTCGCCGTGCCACTGGTACTGTGTTTTTACTAATATTTAAAGAACCAAAGGATTTTGTGTGTTTTGTGGGGTTGGGGGGGTGAGAGGAGGGAGCAGATTTAGAGCTGTGCCTCTGATAATTAATCTCATTCTCCCTCCTTTGCATCTTTTGTTTGTGAGACACTCTGTCTTTGAAATTTTTAATGGCCAATTAGGAAAATAATCTATAGGCACAAAGTCCCATAGACGGTGGCCATGTAAATGGGGGTAGCTATGAGGCTTCTCACAGGAAGGTACATTTTGAAGGTGGGTAGGATTGAGGCATAGGGGCCTCATGAAAGAGATACAGACTCCTAGAAATGGATTGTGACCCCGAAAATAATTGGAAGGAAGGGGAGGAAACTTAACATCCAGCAACCATCCAGGAAATGCCAGTTACTGTTTGTGACCCTCAGAGGCACATGGTTTTACTCAGTCTTCTCAACATCTAGGAGAAGTTAGTGGTTTCACAGGTTTTATGGAGTTTGAGTGTTTGGGGGGTGGGTACCTTTGGTATTGGAGTCCCTTGAGCTCAGCTTAAGACCCAAGCACCATAAAGAGAAGAGTGTTGGCTCTGTCTTCCTTGCTTTCATTTGTAAATCATCACAAATGGGCAAGTTTTGAAGAATATGCTGCCATTTTCTTAGAGGTTCCTGGAGAGCTGACAGTTTCCTGGGATATTTAATAACCTGTCTAGTAAGCAAGTTCTCTGTGTCTTAAGGGTCTGTTTTTGTGGCCAACCTGTGTAGAAACAAGCTTGTCCCTCTGTGCATATGTGCATTCCTCCCTTCGAGAGACTATGATGGGCACGGCAGACATAGATGTGAAACAGAGAATAGAGCCATCCTCCTTTATTTCCCCTAGAGGGTGGGGGCAGGGGACTTTATATTTTGTCAGTTAAACAACATATATCTAAACTCTTTGCCCTGTCTGTAGATTAGAGTGCCAAAAAGAAGGATAAGAACTTAAGTTTGTTAGCCCTCGTTGAGGAAAAAGCCATTTATTGCTTTTGTTGCCCTCTCCCTGAGCCATGGCCTAACTGTCCCCAAACCCCTATTGTCATAGCAGCAATGGCCCTGGAGCTGGGGGAGAGTTTATTTTTATAGGGTTCCAATCCCGACTGAGTGAAGGTTTTCTTTCTCTCTTTTTGCATTAAGACATGTGGTAATTGCTCAGAAATGTTCTCCCTGGTGTGTCTTTACTGCTTACTCTGGTGTCTTATTGCTCACTGATGTTTCTGATTGCTTACTGTTGTGTCTTATTGCTTGCTGATATATCTTCTGGTTGGCTCTAAACTGCTTCTAAATTGGGTACCATGGCAGTTGAAGAAGGGCTCCCTAAATTTATTTTCTTTTTAGGGATAGCTCTGTGTGCCTGCATGTGTGTGCCCTTCCTCTGTTGAGCTGTGTTTTCTGTACCTTTTATCCAAAATGGCTTTTCTTTCCAAATGATTCGCTCTTGGGCTTTTTGATGTTGTAAAAGGGATGTTCCCCTAGAGGAATCTAGCTGGAAATGAACTTCACTGAAATCAAGAATTAGCTTGAACTGCATTTTTGAGCTTAGTTTATCTTGCTGAAGATGAAGGTGGATCAAAGAAACTAAAACCCAGATTTAAAAAAAAAAAAAAAATCCCCATCCTTCAACCAGTTGCCTATTAAATCAGTTTCTCCTCCCAGAAAGGACTTGAATGTTTCTTCGCCAAAATTATCCCCTTTCAGAATGATGCTTTTGTTTTTGGAAAGACCAATTCTGCTTTTCTCTACTTTTATGATCTTAAATTATGACACGGAGTGAATAGCATCGGATCTGGAGTTCTTTGCCATGTGCTAACATAGGGGAAAGGTAAAAAAAAAAAAAAAAAAGTGATCTTGAAAGTGCTTGCCTTCTGAGGCCCGGCAGTATCCACTTAACCTTTGTTTTTTGCCCTTGTTCAAAGCCTACCTGTTGAAAGTACTCAGTAAATGCCCACATGGATTGGATGATGCTGGAGGGGACAGCATGTGGTTTCACTGCTAAAAGGAGTTTCTCCTTCTGGTTCCTCTTTTCCATTTCTGCTTCTGGGGATTTGCTTGGAAGTGGGGCTTGGCATCTCATTTCGCTTTCTCAAACCTTAGCAAACACCACCTACGAAGTAGGATTTTTTATTTTTTATTTATTTTTTTGGCCTGTTGTGTCTGAGCTTCGCACAGATGCTTCTGTGCTGTGGAGCCTTCATAGAAGGTGATGGTTACAACTCCAGATTGTAGTATTTCGGGGAATGGGCACATTGTGCCTCTCCCTCCATCAGTTGCGGGGAGGCATGAGTACATGTGTGCCTCCGCATTTATTTATTTATACTTAAAAGAACCTGTTCTTGTCTTTCAACATCAGTTGAATAACTGGCCAGCATGGAGGGTTCGCTGAAAGGCACAACTTAATGATAACATTTCTTTTGCCTTACGATCACTTATAATTGCAAGGTCATTTGGGAAACACAGTCATAGACTCGAAGGTGCAGGCACAACTCCAGTGGCTGGTTTCTAATACTGAGTCTCCACGGAATGTTAGCTAGGCCTGCGTTTCCCAAACGTGAGTAGCCACATGTAGTGTATTTCCGGTATCTGCTGGTGAAGTGCAATGTTTTTGAGCTTGGATGCTGTTCTCAATAAAAAGAACCATAATTATTATTCTACCATTTAAAAATTGCAAATGGAAAATGTCCCTGCTGAGTTTCAGGACATGCATTTGGAAGTGCAATTTTCCCCCCTTTTGTGCTGCTAATGGACCTTGAAATTAAGTTGCACAGGTGTTGTTTCTTCTTTGGGTCCCCCTGTTATCCGTTGTGTTGGAGTAGCACCTGAAGTGCCCCAGTCCCCTACCCAGCTCCACAGGTGGCTTTCTGGGGATCAGGTAACGGCCAGTCTGTGACACCCCAGATGCTGCCAAGAAGCAGGGCAGACTGGAGATTGCAGGGTGCTTTCTTATTAATGTGAGCGAGAAACTACTGTATTTCTCCGATCTACACATTGCTTTCTGTTTCATTCTTTGTAAGGGCAGAACTAAAGACTTGGCTACTTGTCAGAAACAATTTTTTTGGTATCTTCCTAGAAAAATGTGTATCATTGTTGGTGTGGTTTTCACTTTGTGTGGTCAGGGTGTTTTGATTTTTATCATGGAGAAGGAAGCGTCTTTCTGCACTGGCCATATGTGGAACACCAGATTCCAACACTACCTCGTAAGTCAAAGTTCCTCAAACACAGCACACAACTGACATTCTGGGCTAGATAGTTTGCTGTTGTGGGAGCTAGCCTGTACACTGTAGAATGTTTAGCAGCATCCCTGG